AAAAAAAAAAGAGAAAAAAAGGGTTGAGTACACAGACAACCCGACTAGCCACAAATATATATACACACACGCACATAAACACACACACACACACACACACACACACACACACACGCAAGCTATAAATATTTATAGCACAAGAATTTATATCATTGCATGTCTGGTAACTTCCATCTACACCTATCTATGACGAATGCTTCAGGGTATAAAGCCCCACGGAGCAGAGAAGTCAGAGTCAGGGTCCAAAATAAGTGTGAAAGTGCAACTCAGAAAAATGTACCATACTGGGGTCTCTAACGCACTAAGCTACAGGCCCCTTTGTTCTCTCTGCCAGCAGAACAAAAAGCTAAGTAGCTACTTAGCCATTTTAGCGCATAGTTTATATTTATTTCTAGGTTTTGAATTCATTACAGTCAAGTAATGAAAACAAGAACTCTAAACTCATTAAAAAAAAAAAAAAAACAAACAAACCAGATAAACCGATTACCATTCACCCCAGGAGTTGGAAGTCAGAATTCATTATTTTAGCATGAACCGTGGAAGAAAATCTTCTTCCACAAGGACAGATGCTCCTTTAAGGAGGCCGAAAAGGACACTAGATCGCATACTGTACATTTGTTATCTATGTTTAAGGATTCAGAAATAAAATTACGAGGTAGAGTGAACTCAGATGTAGTTCAGACGTCTTTACTGGAGCTAAAAACATGAAAACGTTGCACAGGCATTTAGTAAGGCGGTAACAAGGGCCTATTATCAAGATATATGGGTTAATAATTTCATGGGGTTATTCGGGAATGATCTGCTCTGATTGAAACCATGTGTGGAGGACTGGGGCTTCTGCAGGATGTGTCGCAGCAACAAAGGCCCTAAAGATGCATTTGTGCTGCCTGCTATGTATACAGATGATTGGCTTCGATACACTTCCCAGACATAAACAGTAAAGGAATGTCACCGAATGTCAGCTCTGTGTGCTGTCAGGATGGAGGTGGAGAACGCTTACCACGTTGTACAGGCCGATGCACCAACGTTCGAATAAAATCTGGCCCGAAAATCCATTAACGAAGGCGAACCAGAGCTGAAAGAGAAGAGAGTTCATGAGGTTTTGTATCAATATTGACCTAAATGTTTTCGTTTGCTGAAGAAGGAGCGGGAAAAAGCGGCCCGCCAGCTGGACACAGCTGCTAAGGGGTAAAAAGCCACGGGACCGTAGCTGTTTTTCTTTCAGAAAAATCAATGCCCAATATCTCGGATACCAACATTTGAAGGAAAAGGTATATGTAAGGCACACGACGATTTTAAGAGGTAAGATGCACATGTTAACAGAGAAACAATTTATGTTTAGTTTAAGTCTTAGTGTGTTTTGTATCAACCCTCTCTCGTTGTCTGGAAGAGTCTCGACTTCTTATTCTTTTTCCCTAGAAAGTTGATTTGATAAATACCAATTATTTTTGTAGAACTTTCAAATAGATAAAAATTAAATAAAAAACAGCAAGAACTCCTCTGCTGGTCACGTGTCTCCTCAGCTCATAAAATGTTGGCCCCCTTCATTGAATGTCCCTCACCGCAGCCAAGGTGAAAGCACAACATACGAAAAAAATCATGCTTAAATCATCTGGAGCAACATGGGCTGCATAAATAAATAAAACGTGGACTATTATTCATGTCTGCAAGTAGCCCATAATTCTGATTGATTAGGCAAGACCGACATAAAAACTACTACAGAGCGGAGTGCCAGGGACACGCATGACAAGGGAATAAAACTATTTTAGAGAAGGGACGATCGCCGGCTATAATGAGGAGAAGACGTGGAGATGGCAGGCATGGGGCAGAAGCGGGGCGGCCGTGAGGACAAGGGCTGGGAACCGGACTTAGAATGCGGAAACACGGGGTAGAAAATGCTGCTGTCTCGAATTCAGCTAAATGGATATGATACCATGGGTAGGATTCCAGTGATTTGGGGTCGACTCGAAAACATCGTGCACTAATCACAGGATCCGCTTCGGTGTACAATCGTGGCGGACTGAATCCTGACAGCGACAGAACACTGGGCACAGAACGGCCGCCCCACGACCATCTGAGCTGAGACCAGCTCTGCGACTGAAATCTTACTCGGCTAGATTTTTCAAAATCAGTTTCTTGGCTCCACCAGATGAAGTTCCTTGAGACAGGACTTCTTCTCTATCCTGTGTAAATGTGCCTGGCACAATATTTGGTACAAACAGGGGCTGAGTTCCATTTGGGATCAGATGAAGGTTTCTTAAGCACAGCTTTCTTCATCTCATTCCCAAGTTCAGAAAGCTACTAGGGATCCCTCCTAAATCGCAGGTAGGCTTGCTGCCCTGTAAAAATCCTTCCCCAGTCCTACTTGCTCTTAATTTCGACCATCTCCCGAGAGATCCTGGCTATCCTCAGTGAAGAAAACTTGGTGGAGATTAAAAATCAGAAGTTCATGTTGTGCTGTTCTCAAAATGTTTTCCCAACGCCTGTTCTAATATTAGCCATCACTAAAATGGCAGGTTCCGTCACACTGCCTCCCTGCCTCCCTGCCACGCGAGGCCTGACAGCCGATCCTTCAACGAAACTTTCAGTGCAGTGACAGCCCGGATCCACACCTGATTCAACATATTTATAAATCATCTCAATGGTTTTGACCTAATTTCCCCAAGATCGTGCTACACTTCTATAGTCTCCTGTTCTGACAACTGAGCAAACATTGATACATATCTAGTAGACACTATTTTATTGCTCAATTCAGTCAATTTATTGTCTTCTGTTGAAGGTAGGGTAGTGATATTTCTACTGCCCTCTCTCTCCTAACATCAATTGAAAATGGCAAAAATAATTGAAAATAGAAAAGAAAGAGCTACTTTTAGTGAATCTACGAGACAGCCTTAATTAAAACTACAAACGACATAGAATAGAAGCTGATACCTATGACAAGATCAAGGGAGAATGTCAATAGCAGACAAAACCTACAGCGTGAAAAGATTTCCAAGAAGTACGTGAGATGACCCAAGAAATAGCTGAACCAATTCTTATTTGGAGGTTGAAATCTAGAGGCAGGGACGAGTCTTGGCAGAGGCCGATTCAACACAGCAGGCAAATTGCAGTTAAAGGGCAATGTATGCACATATGCCTTTTCCTCCACCCCAAACCCCACCCCAAGTAGCAAGTGAGGAGAATGGCAGGGTACAGTAGGGAGCATAAGCGGCAATCGACTTGGCAAACATCGATAGAGATAAACTGAAAGGAAATAAATACAAAATAATCTAACAGAAAACCCATAACACACAGAAATTCACTGGCAGGCATACCGGCTTCTGACTGACTCAAGAAGAAGGAATGGTGGAGAGGGAGGTGCTTTCCACTGCGAAGTGATAGGTGACGGGTGTAGTAGAGACAAAAACCTTCATGAAGAAGTGTTCTGAGACAGCTTTGAAGACCCCTCCCCTAGACATCATCAAAAAACAATAAAGAAAAAATAAAAGAGTGTGACAAAAAGCATCCGAAACAATATCTACAGAAAGAACCAGGGCGGAAAAGAACAGGGCGGAAAAGAACAGGGCGGAAAAAAATTGTAAACGCCCTTGGCATTTAGCCTTGAAGAGCTAAAGCAAATGTGTCTTTCCTTAAAAGAATAGCTAAAGTTAGATATGTAAGATAGCAAAGAAGAAAGCAAATGAAAGATTCAAGCTCCACAGAGGGAAATAAACCCCAGAATTGGCACCGCTGAAGAGGAGGCTTGAAAAAACAAAGAGACAAAGGACAGAGTTGACACTGATTTTAAGAGAAACTGATCGCTTTTCAAAGATGGTTTTTGAAATTCCAAGAAAAGTATACCTTAAAAAAAAAAAAAAAGCAGAATAGAAAAAAAAAAGTGTTCAAAGATGTATTAGAAGAAAATATTCTGAAATATTCTAAAGCCTTACTCATCGAATGGAGAGGGCACCTTTTGTCCCCAAGAAACAAAATAACAGGGGCAGAAAGATCAACACCTACACATATCCTGATATCCGAATTCATGAATTTTAAAATTCTGTAAGATCAACTCTCCAATATATTCAGACAAAAAGAAAAGCAAGTGACCTGTAAGGGGGAAAATCGAGTTGGCTTCACATTTCTCTTCAGTGGTATACAAAACCAGAAGCCAGAAGCGAATGTTTACAAGTCCTTGGGGAAAGAAAGCATGACAAGAATTCCAGCAAAATATAGAAACCAAGGAAACAGTAAAAGCTGAAAACGTTACATAAAATGTGATGACAGAAGTATACCAAATATGTCTGTTATATTAATAATATGAAAAATAGAAATACTCAGTGGATAAAAAATATCCAAAATATGTGCTATGTACAAGGGAAACATGTCAAACAAACATGAAAAAGAAACAGTGCTTGAATAAGATCAAACCCATAACCATGACTTTCAAAGCCTTACAGACAAGGTCTTTGCCACTGTTCTGACAACACTGCTTCTCCTTCACTAAGCTGCAATCACCCTCTCTTGGTTCCTTGTGAGTGTCAAGTATGGAGCCAGCTTTATAGTTTGCAGCCAAATATGAAGCAATTTTATCACCATCTTTTGGTTAATAAGCCCTCTTTATCTCACTTGTTTAAAACGCCTTTTATTACAGATTATCATGCTATTTAGAAAAAATTGTATAGCATTTTGGTTTCACTCCATATATTCAAATTAATTATAGATGGCTTGAAATTTAAACATAAAAAAACCCCCAAACATCAAAGCATTAGAAAAGAAAATGAAAAAGTTATTTTTTGTACGTGAAACTGACTATAAGCCATTAAACTCAAAAATCTTACAAAAAGACAAATTTGAAACAATTCATTGGTATAGAGAAAAATAGTAATAAATTAGAAAGAAAATTAATAAATGATACAAATGGACTTGTTACATCTATGAAGACAAAGGCCTAATTTCCTTAACATATAAAGAATTCTTATAAATACGAATGAAAATTCCTGACAAGCTGTAAGAAAAATAGGCAGAGGATATGTGCAGTGTGATCATGGGGAAAACACATACATAAAAAAAATTTCATTTTTTATGAAACACATATACATGTGCATGTCCCTCCCTTCCCCCTCGATAGATATTACATTTTCACCTAACAGATGGGCAGAGATTTAAAAGGTCGATAACCTGGGGCGAATCAAAATGTTTTCCCAACGCCTGTTCTAATATTAGCCATCACTAAAATGGCAGGTTCCGTCACACTGCCTCCCTGCCTCCCTGCCACGCGAGGCCTGACAGCCGATCCTTCAACGAAACTTTCAGTGCAGTGACAGCCCGGATCCACACCTGATTCAACATATTTATAAATCATCTCAATGGTTTTGACCTAATTTCCCCAAGATCGTGCTACACTTCTATAGTCTCCTGTTCTGACAACTGAGCAAACATTGATACATATCTAGTAGACACTATTTTATTGCTCAATTCAGTCAATTTATTGTCTTCTGTTGAAGGTAGGGTAGTGATATTTCTACTGCCCTCTCTCTCCTAACATCAATTGAAAATGGCAAAAATAATTGAAAATAGAAAAGAAAGAGCTACTTTTAGTGAATCTACGAGACAGCCTTAATTAAAACTACAAACGACATAGAATAGAAGCTGATACCTATGACAAGATCAAGGGAGAATGTCAATAGCAGACAAAACCTACAGCGTGAAAAGATTTCCAAGAAGTACGTGAGATGACCCAAGAAATAGCTGAACCAATTCTTATTTGGAGGTTGAAATCTAGAGGCAGGGACGAGTCTTGGCAGAGGCCGATTCAACACAGCAGGCAAATTGCAGTTAAAGGGCAATGTATGCACATATGCCTTTTCCTCCACCCCAAACCCCACCCCAAGTAGCAAGTGAGGAGAATGGCAGGGTACAGTAGGGAGCATAAGCGGCAATCGACTTGGCAAACATCGATAGAGATAAACTGAAAGGAAATAAATACAAAATAATCTAACAGAAAACCCATAACACACAGAAATTCACTGGCAGGCATACCGGCTTCTGACTGACTCAAGAAGAAGGAATGGTGGAGAGGGAGGTGCTTTCCACTGC